ACCTACAGAGGAGGCAGAATTACCTTTGCTGATCTTTTAGCATCAACGTCTGCCATTTTCTAATAGAAGATGCCCATCTTTCTCTTCCAGTTAGCAGCTCTGTGGTGCTTTCTAGTAATGAGGGCCTCATATCCTAACTCCAGTATTAATAAATTGCATGTGATACATAATACACAACTCTCATTTTTTTCCAGTGGCGCCCACTGCACTAAACATAGCCTGGTGAACTTAGTATATTTTAAAATAGTTACTATTTTTGTACCTCATTCTATATAATAAAACCCTAATATGCAGCCAAAGCCGGTTTGGCTCAGTGATAGAGCGTCGGTCTGCGGACTGAAGGGTCCCAGGTTCGATTCCAGTCAGGGGCATGTACATTGGTTGCGGGAACATCCCCGGTAGGGGGTGTGCAAGAGGCAGTTGGTCGGTGTTTCTCTCTCATCGACGTTTCTAGCTCTCTATCTCTCTCCTTTCCTCTTTGTAAAAAATCCGTTTCTAGCTCTCTATCTCTCTCCCTTCCTCTCTGTAAAAAATCAATAAAAACATTAAAAAAAAACACAAAACACTCTAATATGCAAATCGACCGAATGGCAGAATGACCAGTTGCTATGACGTGCACTAAGCACCAGAGGGCAGACGTTCAATGTAGAAGCTGCCTCCTGATGGTCAGTATGCTCCCCAGGGCTGCTCAGCCGGGCTCATGGCTGGTGAGTGCAGTGGTGGTGGTGGAGCCTCTCCTGCCTGCTCTGCAGGCGGGCGGGTAAGGAGCAAGGGGTCCAGGTCTGCAAGAGCCCCGGACTACGAGAGGGATGTCTGACTGGCGGGGGTCCTGCACTGCGAGAGGGTGCAGGCCAGGCTGAAGGACCTTCCTTTCCCACCCCCACCGCCCCGCAGCTGCCCAAGTGCACGAATGCCGTGCACCAGGCCTCTAGTCCTATAATAATACACGTGTAATATGCAAATTGTCCCCTCGACCGAGAGTTCATCTGGGAGTTTCACAAGGCCAGTGGAAGGGAGGGAGGCCCAGGCTGCCAGTGGTGGCGACGGGGGGAGGGGGGGGGGACGGGGACGGACACGGGACAGGCGGCCGGAGGGAGAGGGAGTATCTGGCCAGCAGCCAGCAGCCGCTAGGGACCCTACTAGTGGGGCCTCTAGTTAATAATAATAAATCTGATTTTACCAAATCCATAAGTTTAAAAAACAGTCCCATAAACAAGGTATAGTACTGGGCCAATATAAGGTCATAAAAGTTATTTGGTGGTTAAATTATTCACCACCAGCAAGTGTAAATACAATTGTCTCAATCAGGAGTATATAGTTGAGCCCTGGCCAATTCGACTCAATTGGTTGAGGGCCATCCTGTGTACCTAAAGGTCTCCAGTTCCATTCCTATCAGGGCATATGCCCGGGTTGCAGGCCCAATCTCCACTAGGGGGCATGCAGGAGGCAGCCAATCAATGTTTCTCTCATTGATGTTTCTCTCTCTCCCTCTCCCTCTCTCTATAGAATCAATTTTTCTAAAAACATTTTTTAAAAAGAGAATATAGTCGATATTATAGACTGAACCTGATGAGGTAGGTATATTGGAGAAGCATTCTCTGTGGACCCACCTCAGGCAAGGGTGGCAATCGCAACAGGGTTATATTTTGGAGATTTTAATTACTCTGCCACCAGAGTAAACAAAAAAGTGCAAGAGCCCTAGCCAGTTTGGCCCAGTGGATAGAGCACTGGCCCATGGACTAATGGTCCCGGGTTCGATTCCAGTCAAGAAAACATGCCCAGATTGCAAGTTCAATCCCCAGTAGGGGGTGTGCAGGAGGCAGCAGATCAATGATTCTCTCTTATCATTGATGTTTCTATCTCTCTCTCCCTCTACCTTCCTCTGAAATCAATAATAATATATTTTTTAAAAATAAGTAAATAAAAGTGCAAGAAAAAAAAGAGAGTCACAAAGAAAGAAAGTAGAGGGATGAAGATTAAGAAGTTGGAGATACCTGAAAGTCTGTTTCCTCACTTCAGTATAGAACACTCTGAAACACCAAATGAAAGTTATCCTGTTAACCATTAAGTGCCAAACTGGTACAGGCAGCACAATCACAAATATCTGAGTACTGAAGCTGACTCATAAAAATCTAAAAATATTTCATACTTTAGGCTTTCTAACTAGCATAAGTTTAACCCCTTCCCCTCCTTCAATCATGTTCTTTTGAAGCCAATGTAAAAAACATTTTGAACCTACTTCTGAAATCGGTAATTAAAATGTGGTGAACACAGAAAGCCACATGCAATTACATTTTCAGGCTTTATCATTCCTACATCTGATCCTGGATTTACCAAATCAGTTAAGTAGCTGTGCTGTCTACTACACTGAAATAAATACATATATGTTTATGAAAAGCATTGCCTAAAAACCTTAACGGCTATCAAAACCTGTATACAAAAAGCCATTTTAAAATTGATCTAGATAACTACTAAATTCTTTATTAAATTTTCTAAGAGTCCCAGATTATAATGTCTTCAAAAGGCGGAAACATCTTTTCTGACCAGAGACAAGCACAATCATGTAAAATAGAAACGTTTTTAAGTTATGAGTATCAAAAGCCAGCAAATGTAGGCTGGAGACTTTTTTAACAACACACCCGCAAACACTAAGTAGATTACACTGTGTTTCCTACAATTCTTTTGAAAATAAAGACATTTCATTATTTTTCAAATCATTAGAAATGAAAGGAGCACAGAACAGCCCATGTCAAAGAGATACCAAGATTCACGTTTTCTATTATGAAGTACTATAAATACACCCATACGAATATGTATCCTATTTGTAATTCTAAGGAAGACATTTCACCAAAGCAATCTACAAAGTTGCAGAATGCCGAAGGCTGGACTACCATAGCTCAATAAATTATACTGAGGAAGAAAAAAAAAATTAACAAATGAAAATCAAATAAAAATCCACAAGTGACAGGATCTCTTAAAAAGCAACCATACGTGTGTGCGCACACACACAAATTAGTAGTTTTTATAGTACTGTACTCAAGGATGCTGGAGCCGTCTAGCCCTGTGAATTATGCAAAGGACAGCAGATATGAAGTGGCCTCCCTATTCATGCTACTGTACTTCCATTTTTGAAATGTGCTTCTCAACTCCCCAGATGGCATCGTCCACAGAAACCATGCAGCCATCCATCAGACTTTCGGTGTCACCATTTATTATTTATAGCATGAAATGGGGGAAGTGGCTCTGATGTCACCGACCCTACCCAGTGGAATCACTGACTCAATAAGCATTTTTCACACTGGAGGAAAAAATCTGGCTAGGAAAGCGTTTTGCTGGGTGAAGCAGATCCTCTCACCTTTCCCCTCCACCCTGGGTGGAAGCCGTGACCGTGTCGGGAGAGAGAGATACAAAGAAACTGTCAAGGTTTCCACAGGAAGGAGAGCCCTGGGCTTGTCCATTTGCTCGGGCTCTGACTTCCCCCACAGCCCGGTTCGCTTTCCCTCACGTTCAAATGGGCAGGTAATAGCTGCCATGTTTTATTTCTCCCACCCAATCAGCCACCAAGGAGGCAATCTCTCATGGTCCCATTTCTAAATAAAACAATCAAAATAAAAAATAAATAAAAAAAACACCCTCTGGCTCCAAGTCCTAAGGGGGATAGGGATCGGGGTGTCCGCGGGACGAGGAAGTCTGGTCTGGCTAGAAAGGGTTTCTAACAGGAGAGGGATCGCTCCCCCAGGGACTGGAGATTCTTTTTTCTCTTTTTCTTTTTCCTTTTTTTGAGAAGAAAGAGCTGGCGGGCGGCAGTCATGAGGACAACCCTCCCCCCTCCCCCAATCTCCTAAAGCAGCTGTGGAAACGTGGAGTTGCTCCTGGGGGTGGAATCCAGGGTACCTGGGGCCTGGCTATGCACACAGCCCTCTCGGCCCAGTAGGAAGCCCTTTGTCCGAGAAGCCGGACATCACCGAGGTCCGGGGAGAGAGGCCCCTGGCTTAATCCGCCTCAGCCTCACACCCCGGCGCTCCCCGCCTCCGCCCCGCAGGGCCTGTCCCGCACCCGCACACACAGCTCCGGGTCCGGGAGAAGGTGCTGAGACCCCTCCTAGGACGCGGGGGCCGAGGCCCTGAGCGATCTCCGCTGCCCCCCCCCCTCCTCCCATCACCATCTCACTCGGCCTAAGTGGGGGTTGCAAGAGCGGTGCAGGCCTGGACCGAAGAAATAGAGGAGAGAGAAAAATAATAAATCCACTTCTCAGAGAAAGAGAAGGAGATGCCAGAGCGGGTGCGAGCTAAGGCCACCGCATTGGCGAGCGAGGTTCGTTCGAGAGAGGGGCCCGGAGACAGGGCTGGGGGAGGGAGGAGAACCGAGGGGCCGGAGGGGGCCGGGCCACCTCCGGCCGGAGATCTCGAGGGATCCGACGGAACCGCGCCGGGCCCAAGGCCAGGGAAGGCGGGGGGAGCGGGGGGAGGGAGGGAGATGGGGGCCGAGGCGGCGGGGAAGGGCCGGGGCCGGACGCTGAGATGGGCAGGCCCGCCCGGGGCCGGGCGGACGGAAGAACAGACGGTCCGGCGGGCCGCACTCACCATGAGCTCGATGGTCTTGTCCTCAATCACCGAGTCGGGCTCCATGGCGGCCCCGGCGGCCCCGCCTCGCTCTCCCCGCGCAGCAGCGAACCGCCCGTGCGGAGGAGGCGACGGCGGAGGCGGCAGAGGCGGAGGCGGTAATCGCACCCACACTAGCTGCCAGCCCGCCCGGGCCGCCGGCAGCTCCGCCCTCCCCCTCGGTGGACGCAGTACGCAGAGCGGGAACTACAGCTCCCGGCAGGCGCCGCGTGCTCCGCAGAGCGCTGTGGGAACGGGAAGCCGGCCTCTCCGGGCGGCTCCTAGCTCAATGCTGAGCCGGAAGTAGCCCTGGGTAGCGAATGCGAAAAGTGCAGGCTTCAGGGTTCCCTCCGGATAGAGCCTCGGGAGTTCCATGACTACATGTCCCAGAAAGCCCTGCGCGCGGGTTCTCCTTCCGCCACTTCCTCCTAACTTCCTGGGAGCTGCAGGCCGCTCAGTCCGGAACGGAAAGTCCGAGGCCACTAGTCACTTGTCAGAGATTCTGCGTGTGCGACCCATTTCCGGACATGCGCAGTCAGCGTGCGCGGCGCCCCTTCGACGCCTAGGGAGCGGCCAGGCGGGTCCGCGGGCGGCTGGTGGTAGGGACACGTGTTCGAGACAGGTGGGTTCTAGGTGCTTTAGAAGGGGATGGGCTTAGGGCTCAGGTGGGGGAAAGGGCCGGCCGGCGAGAGAAGCTCCGCTAGGAGGTTTAGGTGGGGAAGAGGAGGTGTGTGGAGAGGAGCTGTGGTGCTGTCCATATGCTCCACGACCGGGGAGGAGCCGAGAAAGGAAAGGGAAATTGTGTATCCTGAGCCCCTCTTACTCACTTATTCGTTCAGGAAGTACTTTGTAAAAATATATATTTTATAGATTTTTTTTAAAAACATCGATGAGAATCATCGATCAGCTGCCTCTTGCACACCCCCTACTGGGGATGTGCCCGCAACCAAGGTACATACATGCCCTTGACCGGAAACGAACCTGGGACCTTTCAGTCCGCAGGCCCACGCTCTATCCACTGAGCCAAACCGGTTTCGGCGGTACTTTTTAAACTTCCAGCCACCGCCGGTTACCAGGCTAGACACTGGGAGTCAGCTCTGAACATCACACACAGGTCTCTGTTCTCGTGGAGCTTAATTCGGGGGAGGGGGGGGGGGTCGTTAACTACAGAGTGCCAGGCGCTAAGAAAGAACAGGGCTGGGGGCCTGGAGACTCCTGGTGAACTCTGCCACCGGCTCTGGGATCTGTTAGTGCCTTCCGATCGGAAACCGCCAGGGACACGGCCGCAGCTGAACCAGTTGGTCCCTGCTGGTCCCTGCGAGGAAGAGCCACTCACATGAAGTGCGCTGGGACCTCTCCGTGCGAGCTGTGAGGTGACCTGGGGGAGGTTTTGAGGAAGTGAGGCTCTCCCCGGACTAGCTGGTCCCGGAAAGCAAGGATTCTGTGATTGGGCAGCTCAGTAGATCTTCCCTGGAAGGGGGGAGGGCTGGGACACTGAGGGTAAAGCTGTAATTGGCACCTAAGCAGCCGCCCCGCATTTCAGTGAGGGCGGGGCCGGCTTGTTTTTGTCTGGATCTGGCATGGTCCCAGAATGGCCTAGTCTGGTGTCTGTGTTCCGGGAAATTACTAGATTCAACAGGAGGAGAAGGCGAGGCTATGGATCATGGAGTCACAGAACTGCTGGGCTCTGATGTATCCGCCAGCGTTCAACTGTCAGCAGCTACTGTCTCTTCTCACGTGTTTTTTGCATTCTCTGCACGTGGACAGTGAGTTGACTGAATGAGCTAGAAACCCCATTCCTAAGGTCCAGGTTGTTAGTTGTTTTTGTGTAACAGGACACTGTAAGCTCCTCACCGTTGGCGTTTAAAGTTCCACGATCCTTATCTCGTGCTTTCCCACCAAGGGAAAGGAGAGAAAAGCAACAGGAAGTGCACAGGATTGGAGAGTGGTTGCCATTAACCTGCTATCTGAATTTCACCGACCCCTTCCCCTATCTGGGCCATGGGACATTCGTTAGTAAAACAAATCGGTTACAATAAATGACCCGTGTTGCAGTGACCTATTGCGTCAGAATGAAACACCCCCAAGACTTAGGAGCTTAAAATATTATATTTCTCACAACTGTGTGGGTTGACTGGATCCAGCTGAGCCCACAAAGTATGAGCTGCGATTAGTCGGGGACTGAAATCAGTTGGGAGCTCATCAAAACAGCCTCTGGGCCTCCCTTTCCACCTGGGTGATCGTCAATCAGGCTTCTGCAGGATAGTTAGCTTTCTAGACTCCAGATTCTAGAGCAGCGGTCGCCAACCTGTCAGACCTCACAGACCACTGATTGGCGACCGCTGTTCTAGAGGACATGACCCCAATGAGCAAATGCTTTTTAAGCCTTTGCTAATGTCCCATTGGCCAAAGCCTGTCACATGGCTCAGCCCAGAGTCAGTGTGGGAACCAGAGTCCTGGTTCATTGGGAGCCACCAGTGTATCAAGCAGCCAGACTTCTGAGGTCCCAGCACTTTCCACAGGGCCTACCCCGTAGGGTTAGGGTAGGAGTCACAAGCTGAATATGACCCCTCAATATGTGTGTTTATCACAGTCTTTTCTATTGTTTTAAAGTTTGACACTCACATTTTAAAATCAACTTCCAGCTTCTCTCAAAAATTAAACACTCTATTCTAGCCAGAGGCTAAAGTGTCAGTGTTCAGATTCTTGGTCAGGACGCATACCCAGGTTCCAGGTTGATCCCCAGTCAAGGTGTGTACGGGAGGCACCGATCCAAGTTTATCTCTCATATCAATGCTTCTCTCCCCTTCCCTTCCTCTAAAATAAATGGAAACTTTTTTTTTAAAGACTGGAGTGGGAGCCCTAGCCATTTTAGCTCAGTGGGTAGAGCGTTGGCTTGTGGACCAAAGGGTCCCCAGGTTCAAGGGCACATGCTTTGTTGCAGGCTCCTCCCTGGCCCGGGCCCTGGTCGGGGCTCTTGCAGGAGGCAACCAGTCAATGTGTTTCTCTCACATCGATGCTTCTCTGTCTTCCCCTCTCTTCCTCCACTCTCCCTAAAAATCAATGGGAAAACATCCCTGGGTGAGGATTAACGACAAAATAAGCATTGATGAAAATAAAAGAATCTCTTGTGGAAAAAAAAGACTGGAGTGGGACCCTGTGACTATTTCTGCCCTGCCAGCTGGCAGTGTTCAACTGTCACTAGAGCTCCTTAGGAGACACGGCAGAATGAAAGGACTTCTCTTCCTGGCTCAAGAACACTACCTTTTCCTTCTCGTCTTTGTGGCACACAGTTTGCAGAGCTGTATCACACGTATACCGTATACCGATGGCTGGGATATCCAGAGGGCGGCCCAGTGAGTTCAGTGGCACCTCAGCAGGCAGTTTCCTGCTTGCCAGCCCCCCCACCTGTGGTGATGAGTTTCCTGCATTCAGATACCTTACAGGCGTCTTCAAACTACGGCCCTCGGGCCACATGCGGCCCGCAGAGGAGTCTGATCCGGCCCGCCAGGTTTTTTGGGCAGTGAGCGCAGCCGAGGTGTTACAGTAGGAATTAGTAGTTCATATAGTCCGGCCCTCCATCTCTCTGAGGGACCATGATCTGGCCCCCACTTTAAAAAGTTTGAGGACCCCTGCCTTAGGAGAATAGCGCCCTGAAATTGTGACAACTCCTTTTCACTAATGTCAAAAAAAGGCAGATCTTTTGAGGGAGAATCTTGCAAAATCATAAGAGTGTCACTAAGATGTATTAAAGGTAGCAGCTCTGTATTTTATCCACATGACAAGGCTTCCTGCCTTATTTTTTTATAGGGAGGGAAGGTATCATGAACTATACATTTATTTGGATTGAAAAAGCCAGACTTTCTGACAGTCTAATTTGATTGACTGGTTCGATAGGATTGGCATTGCCAATAATGGATTGTTAGTTAATTCTTTAGTACCCTGATTGTGTGGAAAATATATTTAAAGCACACAGTACAAACATTCATCAATTCATTTATTGGCAAGTGTATTGAAATTAATATTTGTATTTTCCCCTACCCTTTTTAAACTTAAGTTAAATAAGACCATGCTCTGGTTTCTCTTCAGACCGCATAAATCTTTCGCCTTTTATGTTAAATAAGACACCTGCAACTGAAAAAGTAAAGTTATATTAGAATAGAACACACTATGCCACATGAGCAGATTATCCTGTGTATCAAAAAACAGAACCACTAAGAGTGAATTAAGGAATATTTTACAAAGAGTTGATGTTATATAATTGTCTAGTTAAGCAATCTCTAGGGCTGTTGTCTTCCTGGGCAATAGTGGATCTTAAAGTCCACGGGGTAAGCACGTCAGGAAGGGGAGACGGGTGGAAGGTTGGGGAGAGCAAGCATAGGTGAACTGGGGTCAGACAAACCTGTGCAGTGCTCATTGCCCCTGACCTTGGTGCCATGGATGTCCTGCAGAGGCTGAAGGTCAGAGCTGAACAGCCACACCTGGCCCAGGAACCGGAGGCTGAGGAGGCTCTGAGCCTAAGGGAATGTGGAGCCATTGCAGAACCAGCCACTCACACCACGGAGGTGAGTGAGCTGAGAACAGATGTATTTGGGCAACAAAATGACTGCAGTTTCACTTCTACCCCCAAACCCCTCACAGGAATCTGCCTTCTGGCCCACCCTAATCAGAAACGGACAAGAACGAAATTCAGGGAAATGTAGCCTCCTAGCCAAGTGACCCATTACATTTTCACACCTTAATACACATATCTATTCGCGTGAAGTCCACACTGGCCAGCCAGCTCTCTATCTCAGTTAGACCACCTGGAATTCGTGGTCTCCAGTGTTAATGGGAAAGGGGAGGTTCACTAACTATTAACGGCCTTATCTTGGAAAGTCATTCCTACTCACTACTGGCCAGTGCCCATCACTCAGTCCTCAAGGCTGGCAGGGCTGCCAATGGATGGGCTCTTCTGTGTAACTAAAAAAAGGAAGAATTCGCTGAACAAATAGGATGATCTCTGCTGCACAGGTATGATTCATAATCATTTATTACATCTCGGTAAAGTCTTTGGTATGCTGAGTTTCTCCAGTGACAGTATAAAAAAATCCGTTTAGTAAGGTGGTTCCCAATATTTTGTTCTTAACCAAATTGATTGAATTGAGCTCCCATTTCCTCATCAATAAAACGGGAATGATGGTGTCTTCCTCGTCGTTTGTTGAAAGATTTCAATTAAGTTAATATGTGGAAACTCTCGGTGCTTGGATGTTGTTGTTAAGTGAGAATAATAGTTAATGTGTATAGAGAGAAAACACACCACACGCACACCCAGAGCCAGGCGTAACTTTCAGAACAAATACCCTCAAGTTAGACCTGCTGTGTGACCGTGTACTCAGAAGCTAGTACACCCTTTCTTGTCCGGCAAATGTGGAGAAGTGTGCCCTGCTTTTCCCTCTCCAGCCCAAGAGAACACTCCCGAAGGCAAATTGTCTCTCCCTTTGTTATTTTATTAGAAGCATATTTACATTCTTGCAGTTAACTTTGCAGAGAACATTTTACAAAAGCCTTGTATAAAGTTTGTAAACTACACAAAAATAACTTCTATCCTTCATAAAGGGAACACATAAGTTAGTTATATATACTCTGCCAGAAGTGGGCTGTAATGGACAGTTTCACCTGTCCCAGAGGACACGTTAGCACAGGCCTGAGGGACACTGCGGGCCTTCTCCGTGGCGGGCATGCACACTGGCTCCACTGTGAGGCTGGGCGGCCCAACCAGACCCGTCCAGAAAGAACAGGGACCTGTTAGGGCTCCGGTGGCACTGAGCAGGGAAACGGCGACTCGAACACGATTCCAACATGAATGACAAGTCATGTAGGGAAGGACCAAAGACTGCCTGAGCCATAAAACCTAATACTCACTCTCACACCCAGGCTGCAAAAGGCAATGTGCTGTAAACAAAGCCAGATCAGCCCTACCTGACCATCCACCAGCACTGACCTCTGGCAGAACTGGGTCTGCGTTCTGTGTTACATGGCTGCTGGTTCACATTTTCCAGCACCTGTGCACCTAAATCAAAAGGGACCAGTGTCCCATGTGGGTCAAATACCGCAGCAGGCGAGCTGAATGCTCACTAACCTGAGGGCCATCGCCTTCCCACGGCCTCCAGAGCATCTCTGCTGCATCTGTGAGACTTGGGCAGCCCAGTCCCTTCTTTCCAATGGCGACTCTCCCTTTGCAAGATCCAGGAGAGGATTACAGCCAGTGCTAAGAAGACTCTGCTTTAGAAAGACAAAGCTTCGAACCTAACCATAAGGAATCAAGGAGAAAGCCCTCCTGGGGAGCGGCATTAACTGTCACTAGCCGATTAGCACCCAGACTCGATGTGCCCATATGATTTCTCAAAACCACCCTCAGTTTTCTGTCTTGTTTCTTTAAAGCAGGTATCTTCCTGAAGAAGCCATTCATGTCAAGTTAAAAATCACTGTGGAAAAAGTTTTCTTTGTAAATAAGCCGAACGCCAGATTGAACATTTGCCTGCATTGGGTTATCGACACTGCAGCCCCAGGGATCAGAATCTGAGAGGCCAACTGATGATCCAAAGGCCCAGGATTCTGTCTGAGCTACAGCTTTGCTTCTGCCATGTTCCGGGGATGGGGGGGGGGAGGGGGGGAGGGTGCAAAAAGCATTAGTTTTTCCCTGATGTTTTTGCTTCCTGAAGACTGCCAGACCTCTGAAGTGTAAGGCCAGACTCCTAAACTAGGGCAGAGGGAGAGGGAGACAGCCTTCCCATTTCACCTGGGCAAACTGAGATGGAAACAGACTGGGCTGTGAAAGTGTTGGGTGGTGAGCACACCCATTTGTCCCTGAATACACACTACCACTTTGCCCCATACCAGTGGCTCCACCTAACATACTCAGTGGCTCAGGCAGCATATGTGTTCCAGGCCACCTGGTACAAGAGGCCAGGGCCCAAGCCCTTCGTGTGTGTGAGTGTGGGTGCAGGCAGTGGCGGACACAGGATGGCATGAAAGACCTTTGACCAGGAGAATGAACAAGTCTGGCTCTCTCCCATTGTAGACATGGCCTCAAGAGGAAAGCAAATTTGGAAAGTGGAGAAATGAGGACACCCCCTGAGCAGCTGGCTATTAGGAGCCATGATTCTTGTCTGACACTGCAGGCAATGGCTGAAAAGCCACCAAGAATTGCAGCCAATGGGAGAGCCCATGGCGACTGCAGCGGCAGCACTTTGCACCCACAGACAGCAAAAACTGGTGTTTTGGCAAACAGGAGGGGCCTCAAGGCTACAGCACACTCATTCCTCTCAGACCCTGACCACACCCACAGCCCAAATCACTGACTGCTTGAAGGAGCACGGGGTTCAGAGAGGACATGTATTAAAATTAGGCGAACCTCCGTGAGTGAGCGAGAAGTCAGGAACACTGGTCACTCGGGCAAGCGGCTGGATTCGAGCTGGTGTGGAAGCAAGAGGGAAGGGTCCTGAGTTACTTGTTCACAGAGAATGGGAGGGCCCAGCGGCCCACCCGCTGGCCAGCCACAGCCCGCGAGGCTGTTAGGAAGCATCGGCGGAGCTGTAGGGGAAGAACTTGGCGGCCCTGTTGGGGGTGGTGGGGTTCGGGCACTCGGTCTCCTCGTTCAGTTTGAAGAACATCTCCTGCTCCCGCTTCTTCTGGTTCAGATCTTCTTCCAGAGCCTGAGACAGAGGGGAGATGGAGCTCAGTCAGAGTCACAGGACCCAGGTCTTCACCCTCCAGAACCCACCGAAGTGGCCTTCTCTGGCAATTCCCGCCTGGGCTTGGTGCCTGGGTAACGTGGTCTTCCCTCTTTCCTTCCCTAGAGCTTTTCACCCAGAAAGTAAGTGCCACCTCCTCCGTCCTCCTGCCACAGCCACACAGGAGTTTCCCCTGAGCTAAGGGCTATGGTTAGGGCAGTGCCAGTCTGCATGGGGTGTGGGAAAAGCAGGTGCAAATCTGCTGGCAGGAAAACAGCCAAGGAGTGGAGAAAAGCCCGAGGTAAAGATGGGGAGAGATTTAATAGGGGAGCAGAAATGTCTGCTTATACAGTGTTCCTAGCCAGGGCCCTGTCCCACAGAAATCACCAGGAATTGTTTTCAAAACACAGTAAAACCTTGATATAGTGAACTAAATTCAGGGGAAGGGTGTCTGTTAAAACCAGAAATCCATTATCTAATAAAGGTTTTCTGAATGCGTGTTTAAAAAATTGACAAAATTAATTTACCTGTTTTCACTTATGTAGACACGTGTGTAATTAAAATTAAGCATGTCTGAAGAGTTTAATTCGCAGGAAAATTTTCTATATGTATTTGTCATTTTACATATACCAAACAGGTCTAGTAAATGTGTGCATTCACCAGTCACTGCAAGTAAACAAAAGCACTTAGGCGTGGCTTAGCTCCCCTGGGGAACATGGACCAGCACGTGTTAAAACTGCTGCAGACACGAGTGATCGGAAATTTCTGGTAATTCACACAGGATCTTAGCTCAAGTCTCCTTTGCTGATGTATTAACCTATTAACCGGGGAGTTCCCTTTTTAATTACACAACGTACAGCGGGAGCATACTCTTTCTACGTCACACCCAGCGGACGTAATTTTATATATATTTTTTTATTTATACTTAATTAAAATAAATGAAATATATTTTTTTTCATTTATTTATATATAAAGCACAAAATAAAATACAAAATTACAAACAAATAGAAAAGAATACCAACAAAAAAATGGAAACATCGAATTAAAAAGTTATAAATTTTACAAACAATTATAAAGACTACAGCCGAAGCCGGTTTGGCTCAGCGGTAGAGCGTCGGTCTGCGGACTGAAAGGTCCCAGGTTCGATTCCGGCCAAGGGCATGTACATTGGTTGTGGGCACATCTCTGGTGGGGGGTGTGCAGGAGGCAGCTGGTCGATGTTTCTCTCTCATCGATGTTTCTAGCTCTCTATCTCTCTCCCTTCCTCTCTGTAAGAAAATCAATAAAATATATTTTTTTAAAAAAGATTACAAAAAATATATACCGTCCCTCTCAGGGCGCAACATATATTTCAAGGACGTATTCATACGTCCTTCCCGTTCCTGATAGTGTTTATGTTTGACGTATTTATAGGTCCCGCTCGGTTAACAGGTTAATATCAAAGTGTCTGTGGCAAGCAAATATATGTGCAAGACAAAAGTAGTTCTGTTTAAGCTCCTATAACAGACGTCACAGAACCCAGTGCCCACGGGGCCAGGCAGATGAATAAATGAGCGGAGAGCTGGCTGTGACAGCAGGGAGAAACAGGGACTGCTGCAGTGAAGAGCACCAGCCGTTCTGAGGAGGGCGGTTCTTCTCAGTTCTAGCCGGTGGCTGTCACGTATGACGGATTCAGTGTTACCAGGGCTCCTAGGTTTTCAAAAGAAACTGGAAGTCCATGTTTTTTTTAAATTTTTATTTATTGATTTCTGAGAGGATGAAAGAGAGAAACATCCATCTACTGTCCCACTTATTTATGTTTTCGTTGGTTGATTCTTGTATAGTTTGGCATAGTGGGTCAACACTCTAACCCAGTGGTTGGCAAACTCATTAGTCACCAGAGCCAAATATCAACAGCACAACGATTGACATTTCTTTTGAGAGACGAGCTTTTTAAACTTAAACTTCTTCCAACAACACTTCTTCAAAACAGACTCGCCCAGGCCGTGGTGTTTTGTGGAAGAGCCACACTCAAGGGGCCAAAGAGCCCCATGTGGCTCACAAGCCACGATTTGCCGACCACGGCTCTAACCAATTGAGCTACTCAGGGCAAAATCCAGATTTTAATGTAAAATTTAGTTAGTAACTTTCAAAAAAAATTTAAACTGGTATGTATTGGCCAAATCTGACATCTGTAAGCCAATTTTAGCCCACAGGCCATCAGTTTGGGACCTCAGCTATAGGAATACCAACTTAATTCTAGTAACTACCACAGAGAGTTAAGTAACTTACGCAGGGTCTCACAGGTAGTAACGGGAGAGCCAGGACTTTATTCTACGTTGCTCTTACTTCAAGGCCTCTTACGTGATGCTCTATCCTACCAACCACATCTGTTCCTCTGCGTAACCTAAGGCGGCAGATGGAGCCCTCTATCTGTAAGGGCCAAATTGGAAATATTTCTGGCTTTGTTGTAGGCAGGCTGTGAGTTCTCTGGCACAAGTTCACTGCAGTGATAATGCAAAATCAACCACAGACAATATAGCAATGAACACGCACAGCTATGTTCCAACACAACCTTACTTTCAAATAGCGGTGGTGGGTTAGATTTGGCCCATCAGCAGCGGTTTACGAACACCTGCTTTTAGGGACTACCCGTCACTCACATTTACAGCCCCAAAAAGCAAGGTGCAGAAGGGAAGACCTGACTTGCTTGGGGCCGCATTCTTTTTTTTTTCTCTTTTTCTTTTTTTTAAATACATTTTATTGATTTTTTACCGAGAGGAAGAGAGAGGGATAGAGAGTTAGAAACACTGATGAGAGAGAGCCATCGATCAGCTGCCTCTTGCACATCCCCTACTGGGAATGTGCCCGCAACCAAGGTACCTGCCCTTGACCGGAATTGAACCTGGGACCTTTCAGTTCGCAGGCCAACGCTCTAGCCACTGAGCCAAACCTGTTTCGGCTGGGGCCACATTCTAACTAGGACTTAAGCAACACTTCATTGACCCTACAAGATATTCAGTATTTACCAAAAGAAATCTAAATTTTTCTAAAAATATTCCACAATGCACAATCACCCCCCCCCTGAACCCATACACAGACAGCATCTCAAGGCCATAATGCAAGAGAGCTAAAGAACATCTATTCCAGAACGGAAATCACCTCTGGGGCAGTGTTCCAGCAGCCACCCAGGTCGCTAATGATAGAACAATTCTAGAGGGAATTCTGGAGCCCCCTCAGGAAAATGCACTGCCAGCTCCCCAAACACACTGGTAACATCTCCCCTAAGCCCTGGTGTCCCCATGGAGCAGTCTGGGATATGAGGCAGTTGCTAGAGGCGGCGTAACCCATTCCTTTTCTAACTTTCTCAGGATGTGCCAAGGGTGGTGTATAGAACCCGCAGGGAAGAAAGCAGGTTAATATGTATTTCCTTTCCAGAGTCAACCTCTGCAGGAGCATTACTGATTTGAGTGTCAAGTATGGAAAGTCTCAGAAGTGACAGAAACTGATGCGCGTGGGCTTGCTAAAAGCAACTGGGACCCTGGCCAGCTTCCAGCCAGAAAGCTCCATTAGCACAGGGAGGGCCGCCTCCGCTCTAGGACTTCCAAGGCCATTACAGAGCTGAGGTGAGCAGCTCAAGCCTGTCCAGACCACAGTTACAGCAAGCGGAGGTGACGTGTGATGGCAGAACCAACCTCAGGGCTTCCGGACACGGCACCACAGAGGATCAGGGTAGCGCTCCCCTCAGAGAGATTAGGCCAGGGTAAGGAAACGAGATGTCCTTGGCCTGAACCAGGGGTGGGTGACTTTTCACATGACACTGTGCAGAATCCATTTCGTACATCTAAGGTGACCACACTGAGACTCTGATGGTTCGCCGATTTGCCAACCTGGTGAGGCCATGGTACCCAGTGGTCAAACACCAGATTAGATGTGGTGAAGGAATTACGTAGGTGTGATTAACATTAACTCCGTAAATCTGAGAAAAGCAGATCGCCCTCTGTGTACGGGATGGGCCTCCTCCAGTCAGCTGAGGGCCCACAAGGAAAAAGAAGTTCTGCCTCCAGGCTACTCTCTGGCTCAAGACGGCAACATCAGCTCTCCCCTAGGTTGACTCCACCTGCCCTGCAGACTTCAGATTTACCAGCCCCTCCAGCAGTGTGAACTAGTTCCCCAGAACAAACCTAAAAGTGTGTCTTGTCTGTATCTGCCTGCCAGGCAGACGCCCCCTGAGCCCCCTGGCCCCGGCGTGGTTACCTTTTTGCGGGGCCGAAGCCGGTCCCGCCACTCCTTCAGGTTCTGGTTGTGGCTCTCGTCCAGGGCCTTCAGCTTCTGGGTCTCATGTTCTACCAGGAGGTGACACTTTTCATTCTGGAACAGATTCCAGGCAGAACCGGTGAGAAACACAAGGCAGAGACGGAGGGCTGAGGCCTACCTCATGTGGTAGCCACGGGGACACCAGTACCCTCCCTCGTTTCTTCTCCTTGATTATAAACTCCTTTTCTAGAAAACTCCATAAGCGTAAATACATAATGCACCAAGAGGTGTCAGGGGAGGAGGAATATTTCAGAATGTTAATATTTCTTATTGTGTAGTGGGATCTACAGTAATTCTGCAACTTTCTACGTTGTGCATTGTTTGAATTTTTCAACACAAACATGGCATTTTAACAAAACAATAAAGCTAATATTATGATCATGTGCCCTAATGTCATTGTCGAGGAACTGAGGCAACAGAGGCAACCACTACAAAAAATTATCTATTATTTCCCGTCAGGCCCTATCCTGTATGTTGTTTAGCTTACCTTCTATATACAGTTCTGCAACCTACTTCCCTCCCCACTTAATATTATAATGTAAAGGTTTCTATACAGAAGTAAGTTTTCAAAATCATCATTTTTAGTGCCTACAGATGCTCCCCCAGTATGGATCCATCCAATTAATTTAAACGTTCCCTATTTTTGGCCACCTCGGTTGCTCTTCATTTTCACTCTTTAGCGTGTGTTAAACCTCTATCTGTGGACTGAGTGTCTCCCCAAGATTCAGACGTTGAAGCCCTGATCCTCAATGTGACTGTATTTGGAGTTGGGCCATGGGAAGACAGGTTTACATGAGTGTGTGAGGATGGGCCCTGCTGAGGAGACACCAGAGGACTTGCTTATTCCCTCCCTCCCAATCAGGACCCAGCAGGAAGGCGGCCATCTGCAGGCCAGGAAGAGAGGCTTCCCTGGGCTTAGCCATGCTGGCAGCTGGCCTTGGACTTCCAGGCTCTAGACCAGTAAGAAAGCAAAACTTCTGTTTGGCAGCCCGAGCTAATAACTGGATAAGATAATCTGCATAGATAGTTATATTTCTATAAATTACGTATTTTTCTGCATCAAATACTATTTCCTCAGGTTAGATCTTTGTGGCAAGGGGTGAGGGCCATGGGCCTGGCTGAGGCTCTCCCAGCCTCACTGTTTTCACTCTGAAGTAAGTTGTCTGCTTCACAAAACTTACCTTAGCCTCTCACAGGTAGGCCCTTGATTCCTCACGGGGAATCAATCTTATGGTTTATAAGGAGCTTATGGGGGGGATTGGGGGAGAGGATCCAATAGCCTGAGCGATGTCCTAAGGTCACAGAGGTTTGGGTTGGCCCACTCCTCTCTCTAACAATGCCTCCATCCAGCACACGTGGACTCCAAATACCAGCTCCTGGGGTGGGGTGAACTTGAGCCGGGGGAGGGGGCTGTCAGGGACCTCCCTAGGGAAAGGGGCCACCAGAGGGCTTGGCAGTACCAGGACACCTGGTGCCATTCTCAGTGGGCAAGCTTTGAGCATCTCCCCATAAGGATGAGGATAAGCTGGAGGGGTTTTGTAGATGTTCTTTATCAAGGTGAGGACTTCCCCTAAGTGCTAGTTTTCTGTGAGTATTTATCTAGAACAAATGTTGGCTTTTGTCAAATGCTTTTTCTGCATCTGATCGTGTGAATTTTCTATTTTAGGCTGTTGATGTCAAGGGTTACATTCATTGATTTTCAGATGTTGAACCAGCCTGGTTAATAAATCCCACTTGGTCATGGTGTATAATTCTGGGATTCAGTTTGCTAATATTTTGTTGAGGATTTGTACATCTGTGTTTCATGAGAGATACCCGTCTACAGTTTTCCTTTCGTGTCTGTATCTGGTTTTGGTATTAAGGTAATCAGGACACCCTTTCCCAAAACGCAGTGAGGACTGAGAAACCCAGCAACATGCCCACTGGGAGGCCCTGGGCGAGGCACTTTCAGCTCATCTCAAAGCTTTACTCCAATCCTGCAAAACAGGACTTCTCACCCACGCCCACTCTATGGATGTGGGAATATGGCTTGGGAAGGTGAAGTGATTTGGCCAACACATGTAGCACCTGGGTCATCCGATCTTAGCAGTCTGTCCCTGAGCTGGCTGCCTTGGGGGGATCTGAGACACTGGGGGGCAGTGGAAGGTCTGTACCTGCAGCTGCTGCAGCTCACTCATGTTACTCTCGCACTGTGCCATCATGTCCCGCATCTGGTTCTCGTGTTTTTGCTGCTGCTGCAGCCGCTCTGCCTTCTGCCTCTTCTCCTCTTGCTGGGAAAACTGCAACAGAGAGAGGGTGGGTGCCTCAGGGATCTCAGGCTGGGCTGGGGGCCCACCTCGGGCCTTTCCAGGGAAGCCTGTCAGAGGGACTAGTACCCCACACCACTCAAGCTGTGCCCCCTCCTGTCTAAAGATCTCCCTCTGGGCTGAGACCCCGCCCCTGCCCTCGAGGCTGGTGGGGACAGGATACTGCCGTGACGTGTGCTGGGACGGCGTGTGTACACGCAGGAGCCGCAGGATCGACTCCCGGTCTCTGAACCACACGGGTGACACGCGAGGGGGGTCGTGGTGGGTGAGAAGGGGGTTAGCGGCAGAGGAAGCTGCGGACAGAAGCGCTGCGCTGGGAGGGGACAGGCGTGAGCACGGTGGCCACGCTTCCTGTCTGCCAGGGGGCACGGGGAGGTGATGAGGCTGCTGAGCTGTAGGACTGGCACACCGCTTTCCCAGCCCCTCGGCTGCACCCTCTGTCTTACGTCCCCAGCCTCGCAGGGCACCCCCGTCCGGGCTCCGCCGGGGCCCACCTGCTTGATCTTCTCACGCTGCTCGGCCGCGCTGCCCGCCCCGCTGATGTGCAGGCTCTTCTTGTACATGGCCATGCGCGTCTTGCCCTCGCTCCTCTGGATCTTGGGCAGCCGCGCCTTCTCCTGCTGCTGCCGCACCTTCAGCTGCTCCACCATGCGCTGGTTGTAGCGCTGCATCTGCTCCCGCTCCTGCAGGGGGCCGGGCGGCGGGCCGGGGTCAGGGCTCCGGGCACAGGTGTCACTGGGAGCCCAGGGCCCACCCGGCCCAGAAGGCTCAGAGGAGCAAGGCTGCATCGTTTGCACCTGCTGCTAAGTGACATCTTCTGTTCTCACTTTGAAAATTGTTACTAGTGTGGGGTCTTCTAAATTCCCCTAATTTCTCTAATCAATGCTAGCTTGCCGTCAGAGCTCATATCTCAAAGCAAAACATACACTGAAACGGATGGTTTATCCTTTTGATGGCAGGTGTCCATTCTTATTTCTAAAAGTCTTGATAAATCTCTTCACCTGACACGTATTAGTATCTCAGAACTCGGTATCAGTGTCACCTCCTGCGAGAAGGCCCCCTGACTTCCAGCCGGAGCGAGCGCCCCTGCGCGGAGCCACCACGGTGGCTTAGGTTCGGAATTACCCACACCAGCGGTGCGGCCAGGCCTCGGCTATCTGTGTGTGTCCCCACGAAGGGGACTAAACCGAGACAGACCGTTACCCAGCTGTGAGGTGCACTGGCCACACACAGCTGGTCTCACCGGGGCTGGGAGGTTAGGGAGTTCCTGGCAGAGGACATGCTTAAGCTGATACCTGGAAGTATTCTGAAGGAATCCGTGGGGAAGAGACAAAAGAGAGAGGAAAGCCGAAACCGGTTTGGCTCAGTGGTAGAGCATCGGTCTGCGGACTGAAAGGTCCCAGGTTCAATTCCAGTCAAGGGCATGTGCATTGGTTGCGGGCACATCCCCAATAGAGGGGGTGTGCAGGAGGCAGCTGGTCGATGTTTCTCATCAACGTTTCTAGCTCTCTATCTCTCTCCCTTCCTCCTCTCTGTAAAAAATCAATAAAGTATATTTTTTTTTTAAAAGAGAGAGGAAAGAGAAAAGGGCAGGAAACAGACATGGAGTGTCAGAGCCAGTGAGGGAGCTACTTGGACCATCACTGCCCTGCATGGTCTCCCCCATTTCTGTCCCTTGAGCCACGGCAAGACCTCCCCCAGCACTCCCCAGGCCTCCCGTGGCCAGCCTCACCCTCCTGAGAGCAGATGGTACCCGAGTGGTGCCCATCACGGCGCGGCTCCCTCTCCCGGTCTCCTGGCGGCAGCGCCCAGCCCCGCCGGAGCCTCACCTTCTCGTGCTTGTGCACCAGCTCGTGCCGCTGCAGGAAGTACTGGTCCTTGAGCTGCTGCTTGACCAGCTGGTGCCGCTCCTGCAGGTGATGCTCCTCCATGTCCCACAGGGCCGCCTCCCGGTCTGCGGGGCACACACCGCCCGGTGACTGCTGAGGGCAGACCCCACCGTGCCCTCCCCCCCTCTCCTCCCCTCCCCTCCCCTCCCCACAGCCCAGCTGACGGCTGTCCGCCTCAGGAGACCACGTGGGAGAGTTGATGGGCCAACTCGGGAACTTCCTGTACCTACGGGGGGAGCTCGCTACAGCAAGATGTATTCGGAGCCAGGAGCCTGGGAAACCGAAACCTGGGCTGCACTCAGCTCCCTCGCTGGGGTTTAGTACAGGTAAAAAGACTGGCCCAAACCGGTGTTGCTCAGTGGATAGAGCATCAGCCTGCGGACTGAAAGGTCCCAGGTTCGATTCCGATCAAGGGCATGTACATTGGTTGTGAGCACATCGCCAGTGGGAGGTGTGCAGGAGTCAGCTGATCGATGTTTCTCTCTCATCGATGTTTCTAGCTCTCTATCCCTCTCCCTTCCTCTCTATAAAAAAAAAAAAAAAAAATCAGTAAAATATATATTTTTTAAAGACTGCCCCAGGTCTCAGCTTCGCCCTCTGCCAAAGGGGCACAACCACACCCAAGAGGGAGCACTGTCTTTGGGAGACACTTATGGTCCATCTGCACGGCGCCTCTGCTCTCCTGACCCGCAGACAGAAACCAGTGGAGGACGGCCTCCCAGGGGAAATGGGTGAGACCCTCCCTGTCCATCATATGCATGACATATGTGACAACAACACGGCACTTTATCCCTGAAGTCAGTTCATGAGCACCGTGCTCCGCCACCGGGCGGGGAGCTGGTGTCAAACAGCCCTTGGCCTGCACGTCAGAGCAGGTGGCTCAGCCCGCGGCAAACGGACGTCCGCTTCGCTGCACTCCTGTCACGTGAGACCAGTCTGCCCAGGGCCCACGGGGACAGGCTGGCCCACCGTCCCTCAGCTAACACAGTTCTCATCACGGGGCAGACAAAGGACATGGGGCTTCCGGAGACATCCAGGGCTCTGTTCAGAAGGTCCGAGCATCAAGCACCATCTCTCTGGTCCACGCCGAGTACCGAGCCACCAGGGCCCTGGCTGCGGCACCCGCGGCCCATGAGCCAGAGACGGCACTGCGTGCGCCTCCTCACAAAGGCCCGCAGGCTCCAAACGCACTTTCCCTCCACCCCGTCGTTTAAATGGAGTGCACATAGCAGGTTTCCTGCCGGTCAGAGCTCGCTCGCTTTGCACACCCCGCAGAGCTGTCCCCAACCTCTGCTCACCGGAAAAAAACAAAAAGATAACACCCATGGGTCTCAGAGAGCCTGCTGCCCTTCCGAGCTCCCTCCGCCAGACGCCCCCTCTGAGCGGAGTGTGTCAGCCGCACACGCACCGTCCCGGACCCTCTTCCCGTGTCCCCGCCTCCTCCCTCTGTCCGGGCCCAGTTGTCCCTGGAAGGCCTCGTGCTGCGAGGGGTCTGGCAGCATGCAAACCTGTCCAAACACCGGCGCACGGCAGGAAAGAGCTCGGCTTCCAGGGGAGATCTGCATTCAAGGCCGACCCCACCCCTCGTGAACTGTAACCCAGGCCAAAGAACAGTCACCCGCTCAGCCTGTTCCCCCATCTATGAAACCGGGGAGCACGTGGGCCTGCCTGTGTGCCTTGTGGGGGGTAAGTGAGGATTCGGTGAGTGAGGTATGGAAATGGGCTGGCAGGGCAGCCGCTCAGTGCGGGATGGCTGTCTCAGGAGATTCTCAACGCTGTCCGCGCCCCCTGCCAGCCCAGGCATGCAGCTCCCTCCGTTTCCACCCGTCTGCATCACCTCCTGTGTTCTCCCTGACATCCGGAACCCCTCAGGCAGTGTGATGACAACTGGTATCCCTGCCTCGCTCCTGCCTGCCTCACGCTTCACCACGTTGGTTTCGGGATGGAGAAGACCGAGGCTGGGTGTCCCACGGACAGCGCCTAGGCCCCCGGCCCCTCCCGCCCCGGCACCCACCTCGAAGGAGCTCCTGCTTCCGCGTGAGGCACTCGCGCTCCTTGTCACAGATCTCCCGCCGGTTGTCGGCCGTGATCTTCTTCATGGCCAGTTCCAGGTCCTCCTTCTGCTTGGCCAGGAAGTCCCGGTCCTGCAGGCGTGCGGAGGACAGGCTCTGCTCAGCGCCGGCTTTGGCGCCTCAACTTCCAGAAACGTCAGCGTGACCCCAAAGAAGACGCAGGGAATGCGCAGCAGGAAATCAGACTTAGAAGCAGAGCAGCCCCTGGGGGTGTGTGGGCTTTGTGTGGACCCTGGTTCGATCCTCAGATCAGAAAAGGGGTTTGAGACAACAGGAAATGTGAATACTGACTTGGCGGCAAAGGATGTTAAGCAACTTTTGTGAAATATTTAAATTTTGGGGGGTGTTTATGGTATTGCTGTTATTTCTTTTATTATTTTTTTAAAATATATTTTATTGATTTTTTTTACAGAGAGGAAGAGAGAGGGATAGAGTTAGAAACATCGATGAGAGAGAAACATCGATCAGCTGCCTCTTGCATATCCCCTACCGGGGATGTGCCTGCAACCAAGGTACATGCCTTTGACTGGAATCAAACCTGGGACCTTTTAGTCCGAAGGCTGACGCTTTATCCACTGAGTCAAAGCGGTTTCAGCTATTTCTTTTTTTAGAGATACATGAGATTTATATTCATAGCAGCATTATTCACAATAGCCATGGATGGAAGCATCTCCAGTGTCCTTAGACAGATGGATGGGTAAAATGTGGAATGTTGTTCAGTTTTAGAAAGGAAGGAAATTCTGGCACATTCATTCACATAAAGGAATCTTGAGGACACTGTGCTAAGTGAAATAAGCCAGTCACAATGGAACAAATACTGTATCATTCCACTTGTGTGAAGTTAAATTTGTAGAGAGAGAAGGTAGAATGGTGGGTTCCCAGGCTGGGGAGGAGGGATAGGGAGTTAGTGTTTCAGTTTTGTAAGCTGAAGGAGTTCTGCAGAGGATGGTGCTGGTTGCACAACAGCCCTAAGTGCAAATGTGCTTGATGCCAGTGAACTCTATGCTTGAAAACAGTTAAGATGGCAATTGCACACAATGTATATTGTACCAGAGTTAAAAACAAAACAAAACAAAACAAAAAAAACTTTAATGAAAGCATGTTCAAAGTCACTTGTCATCCAGGAGATGCAAATCAAAGCGACAATGCGGTACTATCTCACACCTGTCAGAATGGCTATCATCAACAAACGACAAGTGTTGGTGGGGATGCTGGCGGGGAGAAAATGGAACCCCCGTGCACTGCTGGTGGGAATGCAGACTGGTGCAGCCACTGTGGAGAACAGTGTGGAGTTTCCTCAAAAAACTAAAAATGGAACTCCCATGTGACCCAGTGATCCCACTCCTAGGAATATATCCCAAGGAATCAGAAACACCAATCAGAAAGGATATATGCACCCCTGTGTTCATAGCAGCACAATTCACCATCGCTAAAATTTGGAAACAGCCTGAGTGCCCATCAGCATATGAGTGGATTAGAAAACTGGCACATCTACACAATGGGATACTACACTGCTGTGAAAAAGAAGGAACTCTTACCATTTGCTACATCATGGATGGACCTGGAGAGCATTATGCTAAGCGGAATAAGCCAGTGGGAGAAAGATAATATCAAATGATCTCACTCATTTGTGGAATATAATGAACAACATAAACTGATGAACAAAAATAGATCCAGAGACAGAGAAGCATCAAACAGACCATCCAACCTCAGAGGGAAGGCCAAGGGGAAGGGGACAAGAGATCAACCAAAGGACTTGTATGCATGCACATGAGCATAACCCATGGACACAGACGGGGGGGGGGGGGGGGGGGGGTAAGACCATGTGCTGGGGGGTGGGAGTGGCCGGGGAGAGATCAATGAGGGGAAAAGGAGACATAAGTAATACTTTAAATGATAAAGAATTTTTTAAAATTTCATTTTAACATGCACAAGAATCTTTTTAGAAGACCTATGTTATTCTTTCAAATGAGTTTTACTGGCTGAAAATACTTTATGGTAAGGCCATACCCTAACTTATTTACCCAGCACATAACAGGCTGTTTTCCAGGTTTCTCTACTTTAGCTAGGCTGCTTGCTCTCCTCACTCTGGTAGCTGAACGGGCGCCTCTGTGATGATTAATCCTCAGGATTAGTCTCTAGAAGCAGGAAATCCAGGCGGATATGTGCACATTTTTACGGCTCTTCATACAATTGCCAGATTGTCCTCCCAAAGAAAAGGCCAATCGCTGTCCCTTTGTGGGGCTGAGGGCCTCTCACCCTCCCAGCCCTGCCTTTCTCCTCACCAGAGGTCAGGGGCCCCGCCGAGGGAGAGTGAGGGTGTCCTGGAGAGGACGTGAAGTCTGGAGTCAGACTGAGTTTGGGGCCTCGGCCCCCACTGTTAACTCTTCAGGGTCCCCTCTGATTCCTTTCCCTGCAGAGGGAGGTGAAGCTAACCAGGGTCATGTCCAAAGCCTTGGTCAAGGTTGACTGAATTTTCTCTGCATTTGGGGGCAGAGGAGACAGGATGTAGAAAGAAAATGAGAGCATGACGGCCAGGCTGGTGAGGCTGGGCCGAGGGATGGAGGGGAAGGGGAGAGGCAGGGGCCGGGCCAGACCTGCAGGGCCTCGTAAGCACACGGTCTTACAGACAAAGGCTGAGCCACTGAAGGGTCTCCTGGCGCAGGGCTGTGGGGGGAGGGGGACAAGATCCCACTCGCCGGTGACGGAACTGCAGAGGAACATGAGAGGAGGCAGGGAGGCTGGCTGGGAGGAGGCTGTAGCAGTTCAGGCAAAAGATGACAATGGCTAGGGAGTCGCAGAGACGTGGACGAGTTGATGGTTACAGAGAGTTTGGAGATTTAAAAAAAAAAAGTAAATCGTGTCTCAGGAGGCGATGAGGGACTGGAGGGAAAGGAGGTACTAGGAGTTACAGGTTTCTGGCCTCACAACAGGCGCAGGCGGGCACGCTCTCCAAAGACGAGAATAGGACCAGGTCCGGGAGATCGTGGGTTGGATGTCTTTGGGGCTCCCAGGTGCCAGGTGGACAGAAGGGTGTACCGGGTTGACCAAGGAGCTGTGGCATACAAACAGCCCCACAACAAGCAGGAGGCACGTAAGGCTTTGGGAGAGGAGGATGTGAAGGGCTGGGGTATGGAGAGAGGGGAGAACTCGCGTCCAGCTGGAGTGAGGGCAATCAAGGAAGACTGCGGGGAGAGGTGAGAGAACAGGGATGACAATAGGATGGGCTCAGAGTACTAGAGGGCTATTTGAGGGGTAGGGTACAGGCATAACAGAGAGGACCTGTCACCGTTCAGAGTCTCCACCAGGAACTCCCGAGCCGCCCCGCTCCCTGAGTGAGGGGCGGGCGAGGACTCACGAGATGCTGCTTCTTCTGCGCATGCTCCTCCATCTTCTGCTTCATGCTCTCCTTCCGCTGCTGCCTGGGGAGCTTCTCCACCTCGTTCTTGACCTGCAGAGAGCGGCTGGTCAGGGGACCGCCCCACACTCCCTGACTCCTGGGCCAGCGACACCGAAGAGCAGGCTCAGCCTTCTAGCCACTGCCCACCCCTCCTGCAGGCCACGCGGACAGGTGGCACCTACTGGCACATTCCTGGTGGCTGACTCAGTTTCCAGACTCGGGGGAGACAGGTGCTTTTTGCTGCTTGGTATTCATCCCCCTACTGATGACAGCACCCCAGATTCCGTTCAGGCAGCATTTCTCAACCCTTTTCCCTTTTAGACATCTTGTTCCTAATCACCTCCCCTCCCCTAAAATACGAATCCCACAGATATACTGTCCGTCTCTTAAACCATTATAATCTTGAAGCTGTTTTTAACCCCCTTGATAGTGGTATCACCCCAGCAGAGTGCACGCGTCAGGCACGCCCTGCTCAGCCTCTGAGGTGCAGGTGGCGCTGACACCCCATCCCATCTGGCTCTAGGCTGGGTGTGCGATCTACGCTGTCAATCAGCACGGTGCAGAGGGAACACGTGGCCCTCTCTGGGCCAGCGAGACTTTCAAGATGTTTGCTGGAGCCATCAGAGGAAAGCTGCTTACTCTCTGGCCTCCGGGATGGCTAAGCTGGGAGGATGGAGGCCAAGGTGGGCCACCCTGGAGGGGTCTGCCTAAAAAAATTAACCCCAGGAAACAATGCCAACTCTATGCTGTCCCTAAGAAACCGGAATCCAACATACAGGCAGATTCAATGAAAAGGACGGGGAAAGATTCTGCTGAAACACCCATCAGCAGAAAGCAGGACTGGCTATCCGACAAAGCAGACTTCAGAACGGGGAGTTTTATCAGCAATAAAGAGGGACGTTCCATGAAAAGGACAGGCCAGTTCACTAAGCAGCGAGGACAATGTTAAGTAACAAAAGAACTTCAGAAACAAACAAAAAGGGCCACACTGAAGGAGAAGTAGATAAGTCCCTAATGACAGTGGGAGTCATTACATTCCTTCCTCAGTAGCCGACAGAACAGATGGATGGAAAGTGAGGCTCTCTGGCCCCTTGAGTGTGGCTCTGCCACAAAGTACCACGGCCTGGGCGAGTCTATGTTGAAGAAGTGGCGTTAGAAGAAGTTTTAAGTTTAAACAATTTGGCTCTCAAAAGAAATTTCAGTTGTTGTACGTTGATGTTTGGCCCTGCTGACTGATGCGTTTGCCGACCCCTGGCCTGGGCACCCGGCCCCTGCCCAGCACTCGCCTCCTTCTTCATCAGCTTGAGCTGCTCCTGGAACCGGGTGTAGTCCCGCTCCTGCTCCAGGCGGATGCGCTTGGCCTCCTCCCGGCGGCGCACCGCGTGGTCCTGCTCCATCTTCTCCACCTGCTGCTTCTGCTGGCGCTCCAGGTTCTCCAGCTCCGTGTCAAAGAACTTCTTCTTGGCCTGCGAGGAGCAGGGGAACTCAGCAAAGCCACCCTGCAAGTCCCTGGGAGGGAGACGGGGCGCAGGCTGGGAGGAGCCTAGAGCGTGTCCCCAGGCCTGGGCTTACGTCCCAGCTCCATCACCTCTTCTCTGTGTGGCCTGAGACACATCCCTTCGCCTCTCTGAGTCTCAGACCATCTACCCTGCAGGCGCTGGCATGGTGCTCAGCACCGATTCGTTTCCCTCTAGAGACGCTCCGGTTTGACACAGAAGCGCTGTGACCTGCGTGTAATGATGCAAGTCAAAGCCTCAAGAGAGAGGAAACCGGGAACCGGACCGCTGTGAGTTGCTCCCCACTCTGCAGCGTCTGCTCAGGGGAAAGCGGAGGCAAGGGGCCCTATCGGGGCCCATCTCTCCCCCGCACTCACGTTGACTTCTTGTTCGAAGCGTTTGTGCATCTGCTCCAGCTGCAGCTCGTGCTTTCTGCTCAGCTGGCTCTGGTTCCGATGCTCTTCCTTCTGGAGCAGCCGCAGCTCTCGGAGTTCCTGGCGCCTGAGGGGGAAAAGGCGGGACGCCTCCGTCAGACAGCGGGCCCGGCGGCCCCGTGACTCGGCGAGGGGCACCGAAGGCCAGAGCGCGGAGCGGCATCACACCGGGGCGGAGGCGGGGTTAGAACTCAGGCTCCGTGTGGCATTCATGGGCGGGGAAAACATTCATCATCTCAGTATGTAAAGAGTACTTACAAATCAGTGACAGGAATATCCTAAATTCAAAAAGTGACACCGAACATGAACAGACATGAAAGAAAAGAAGAGGTTTTTAAGTAAAGTATATAGATATGACATGTAAATTAAAAAGGAATAGCATTCTGATTAAACAGGTGGGACAATGGGGGAAACTGATGCTTTTGTAACCTGCTCACGTATAAATCGGTACGACATTCCTGGAGGACAGTTTGGCCATAAGTGTATGCCCTTTGCGATGACAGTTCCACTTGCGGATAACATTCACAGACGCACAATAAGTGGAACAAGGACATCAGAAACAGTCCGTCAGTAGAGGTCTCATTAAATGGAAACATATCCATCTGGTGTCATTAAAAATCAGGTTTTAGTGGAAATCAGGATTACGTGGAAAAACATCTATTAAAAATGGAGCAGTTCTTTATGGCAGATACGGGATGATCTCTCAGTGGACAGGTGGATCTATTAGGCAACCCTACCATCTGGGTGGGGAAAGACAGGGTCTGTGTATGCACAGGTGTATGTGTGTGTTTACTCTCTGATCTAAACACTGTTTCTGGAAGGATTACAGCAAAAAAAACAGTAACACCAGGAGGGGACCAGGTGCCTGGCAGAAACGTGGACGAGGGAGGTTTTTCACTGTTTGTCCTCTTCTTTTTTGAGTTTTGAGCCATATCTTATTTCCTATTTACAATGGGCACCTTAACGTGTAACCTGCATATTGCCAATATATATACATTCTCAGAAAACTCTGGCAGGATAAACCCCGAGGTGTTTCCTGTGGCTCTGTTGGAGCGAGTCCATTGAAAACTATCTCATATATATAATCAGAAAAGGAGAAATTAACATGACGGGGAAGAACTTGGGCCGGCGACTGAATGGGGCTCTCCGCAGCCGTGTCCTGGTCTCGCCCCCCAGGGTCTGCAGGCTGCTCCCCGGGGTCCCGACCGCACCACCTTCTGCCGCCTTCCTCACAGCTCGGAGAGTAGAACTGCTCATGGGGCCCGCCCACAGCTGCAGGAGCAGAGGCCACATCAGGGGCCAGAGGGGCCGTGTCTGAATCATAGCTCTGCCCACTCTGTAGCCGGGCACCCTCAGCCTCCCTCAGCCTGGCAGCGGCTGTAAAACGGGGCAGAAAATCTACCTCTCCGGTTCTTGCAGGCTTAACTGAGGTGATGCCTGCACTGCCCGCCTGGCACACACACTCCCCAAGTGGTAACCTCTGGGATGACAATGAGGCGGCAGAGCCAAAGGCAGCCTGGGCCCTGGGAAAGGCGGAGGCCTCTGCCCTCGGGGAAGGGAGAAGGCGGGAGGGGGCTTGGAGAGGGTTAAGGAGGAAGTGGAGACCTTGCCTCAAGAGGAACAGGCTCCCAGAACAACTGGCCAAAAGACAGAGGGCTCAGCAGCCAGCTCCCGCTCACCGCCTGCCCTGCCCTCACGGGGAAGGGAGCGGGCGGGCAGGTGGCGTGGGGAGGAAACAGCCAGCACCCGCAGTTTTCGGGGAAACAGAAAGAACACGGCCGAGAAGCCTCACTCTGGGAGAGAGTGAGTCCGTCCCAGGGTTCTGATGCCTGCGTGACCCAGGCCCAGGAATGCAAGAGCCCAGGAGTGACGAGGGCTGTGGCCAGCTGGGAGTGACCCCTGCGGCCGGGCGGCCTGGCTGGGCCTGCAGGATGCTCTGACCTCAGACCACAGCAAACAGGAAAGCCTTGTTGCTCGTGAGCACGGCTCCTCCACCGCAGTCAGGCCTCCCCTTCTGAGCGCACACAGCTCCTCTGGTCGGGGGCCAGACGGCACCCCTTCTAGATGGGGTGGTGAGTCTGCAATTCCAACCCCAGAGCCCTGAAGTTCCCAGAGGGGAGGTGGAAAGCCAGCTGTCACTCTCCAGCTGTCTCACTCCAGCTGGGGTAGCATCCACTCTCTCCCACCCTGACCCGCAGGCCCTGCGGACTCCGGGGACCGCACCCAGCCCTGTCCTCGCAGCTCCCGAGCGAGCCGAGCGGCCAGCTCCGCTCACCCTCCAGGTTCTGTTCAGGGGGTTCCCTCAGAGCAGCCTCCCCAACCCAGGCGCTCACTATCCTCACCCATTGCTTCCCGCACATGAACCACACCTGGAATTACCTTGTGTGTTGGGTGTTGGCCAACAGCCTCACCTCTATGGATCACCATGTCCCCCAACCCGGTGGGTGGGTGGCTACATGGATGGTTGGACGGATGATGGACGGATGGATGGATGGATGGATGGATAGAAGGGTGGAGGGGTGGATGGATGATGAATGGATGGATGGGTGGAATGGATGGATGGGTGGAATAGGTAGATGAGTGGATGAATGGATAGAAGGGTGGAGGTGTGGAATAGGTAGATGGGTGAGTGAATGGATAGAAGGGTGGAGGGGTGGAATAGGTAGATGAGTGGATGAATGGATAGAAGGGTGGAGGGGTGGAATAGACAGATGGGTGAGTGAATGGATAGAAGGGTGGAGGGGTGGAATAGACAGATGGGTGAGTGAATGGATAGAAGGGTGGAGGGGTGGATGGATGATGGATAGATGGATAGAAGGGTGGAGGGGTGGAATAGACAGTTGGGTGAGTAAATGGGTGGGGTGGTGAGTACAGGATCTCAAGCAACAGCAGCTTCCTTTCGTCTCGTTGACCCTGCACTTCACGCGGTAGACAGCTCTCTCCCCTAAAGACCCACCACAGGCCCATCCCTCCGCCCCACCCACCCATCAGCTCGGCAGCGGTCCTCCCCCAGCTTGCCTGAGAAATCTCATCTCCTCATCCTTCTTCTCGTCTTCGCTGATGATCTTGGAGGTGGTGATGCTCACCTCCACGCCGTCCACCACAAACTTGCGTGTCCTCTTGAGCGTTTTCTTGTGCAGCCTGGAGTCCTGGTGGGGGGCCATTGGGCAGAGCTCAGCCTTTCCGCTAAGAGTCCATGGGACGCCCACGGCCCCTTTGCTTCAGGCTTCCTAACCCAGGGGGTGAGTGTCTGCACTTATCACCCCCCTTCCCCTCCCGGAGCTTGGCCTTCAGACTCTGCCCCATGCCGTCCCCCCAGTGGCCAGCACTCTCCCACACGCAGGGCCCTCGGCCCTCAGCCTCAGCTTCCTCGTCTCCTGGGAGGAGAGAAACAGTGCTTGCCTCCCAGAGGGCTTCGGTGAGAAAATGCGGGGGCAGCACACAGCACAGGGGGCAGCACACAGCACAGCGCCGGCTCTTGGCAACTGGGCAGCACTGGGTGTTTGTTTCTGACGGATTACCCAGGCCACACTGCTCACCACCAAAGTCCAAGGAGCCCGGAAAACCGAGCTCACAGTGACTCGACAGCCAAGCCCGATCTGACCTGGACTCCACTGGCCCCCACCCATCCGGAGGCACCAACCATTCAGCCTTTATCTCTTCCTGTGAACCAGCAGCATTTCACGTGCGCAGGGCGAGTTCTCCCTAGTCCATGAGGACCTGCGCCTGCTCTGGAGGCCGCCAGGCGGCTCCCTCTCCAGCCTCTCAGCTGGCTTCCGCCCTCCTGGTGCAGCCAGCCCTGCCTTCCCAGCTGCCCTGGGCCTCCCTGCCAGAGGGGGAGCGGAGGGCCGGGTGGTCCCCTCGGTCAGCCCCGGAGCCCACGGCCGCTCTGACCCGGCTCCAGCCATCATCGCACTGAACAGCCACCCCTCTCCTCTCCCCAGTGTCCAGCCCAGTGGCCTAGGGCTCATTCCTGACGGCCACAGGGCCTCCCGTCGGAGGGAAGGCAGCCCGGTGCTGTCGCAGCCGTGGACTCTTATCAGAACAGCCGTGTCCCCGACTCGCTGCCATCAGCCAGCGGGGAGTGCTCCAGCCTCCTGGGGAAGGGGCGGCCCCTGCTCCGGGGGGTGGCTCTTTTCACTCTCTGTCCCTTTAAGAGGAGAGACGGGCCCCTGTCCGAGGATGAGCCCGAGGCAGTTACCCATCAGAGCCACCGCCTGCCCTTGTCCTGCGGCCTCAGCCCTGCCTCCTCCCTGCCGCAGGGCCCTGTGCCGGTGGCCGCTCCAGTCCCTTCCAGCAGGCAAGTACTTGCCCCGTCCTCCTGTGTGTTTCTCTCCGAGTGAGCAATGACAGGAACAACCGGAAAGACACGGTAACTTCCCCGACCTCGGCCTCGGCTGGGAGTGGGGCCCAGTGTGACAGCAAGAGCATCCCGCGCTGTCCGCGCAGCCGGCCCTCCGGCCCCCGAGGGAAGGACAAGGCCACAGCCCCGCCTGGGAGGGCAGACCGGCGTGCGGGGCTGAGAGCCCAGACTGCGGGGTCTCCCCGCTCCCCCGCGCCCACTGAGCCTCCGTTTGCTCCTCTGTACGTTGCCGACAGGCCGCCTTCATTTTGTTTGTTTTTAAAAGCACTGGCAGTGCCAGGCCCTCGGGCACAGGGTCCTGCCATTCGCAGGGTTCCTCCCAGAAAGGCCACTGAGCTGGGGCGCAGCCGGGAGCCCACTCCCTCTCCCTGGCTCCACCGCCACCACGGGTGAGAGAACTCCCACTCCTAGCCTCCCCCCCCGAGCTCCACCAGGGCCTCCCGCCAGACCCAACGTCCATGGGAAACCGAATGAAACCTAAGCCCAAACCAACTGTCTGCTGTGGCTCAACCCCAGATGAACTTGGGAGATTTTGAAGATTAAACCGGGTCCATTCCAGGGAGAGGGACAGACGTCAATGACGAGAGAGAGAGAGAGAGAATCATCGCTGGGCTGCCTCCTGCCCGCCCCACGCTGAGGATTGAGCCTGCCACCCGGGCACGTGCCCTGACCGGAATCGAACTGGGAACTCCTGGCTCATAGGTTGACGCTCCACCACTGAGCCAGGCCGGCCGGGCAATAAAAATATATTTTTTTAAAAAAGAAAGCGCAGCCGGGACCGGTTTAGCTCAATGGATAGAGCGTCGGCTTGGGGACTGAAGGGACCCAGGTTCGATTCCGGTCAAGGGCATGTACCTTGGTTGCGGGCATATCCCCAGTGGGGGGTGTGCAAGAGGCAACTGATCGATGACTCTCTCTCATCGATGTTTCTAGCTCTCTCTATCTCTCTCCCTTCCTCTCTGTACAAAATCAATAAAATATATTAAAAAAAAAAAAAAAAAAAAAGAAAGAAAGAAAGCGCAATCCTTGGGAGCCACTTAGACCCGAACGGCAGCCACCCGCTGCTCTCAGAAACCCAACCGGAGCGGCCGTCCTGCGTTACCTTGATGGACAGGGAGCCGGTCTCTCGGTTCAGGGACAGGTCCGCGGACAGGGAGGCGCCGTAGTCCATGCTCTCCGAGGCGGACAGGCTGCCGTAGTCCGAGTCCCTCTTGGACGGAGACGCGGGGGCGGGCAGCTCCAGGCTGCCGTTGGCCAGCTTCTCGCTGCCCAGGGTCTCCAGGGCGCTGCTGACGGGGCGGCTCTGGCTCGTCTTCCGGGGCCGGGCGGCTGTCGGACTGAGGTCCCCGGGCTGGTCGGCCACCTGCTCCTCCTCAGACACCTGGATCCTGGCGCCCATGGACACCGGCCGGGACTTCCGCAGCGGCACAGGCACTGCCAGGCCATTCTCGTCCCCAGCGGCCGCCTCCGGGGGCCCGGCGGTTTGGGGGGAGCTGTCCTCGGAGGGCAGGCGGGGCCCGTTCTCCCCGTCCTGAGGCTGGCTGGGTGGCTCTGGAGTGACAGAGGGTTCCTTGAGAGGCTTGTTGGCCTCGAGGCTCGCCTCACTCACGTCAGAAGAGGTGGGGGTGTGGTTCCCCAGAGGCTGGAGGAAAAGAAAAAGACAGTCAAGGCCACGCCAGGGCAGGTACAAGGCAACGGGCCGGAAACACAGTGGGGCTGGGAAGTCAGGCGCCGACAGGGTGGCGTGGGCCAAGGCCAAGGAGAGAGAGCAGGTATCCCTCTCCAGCAAGCCGCAGTCCTCACCACTCCCAACTGCCCATCCGGCACCCACATGGCTGCTTGTTCCGAGGAATAGGATCTCCTGATTGTCTCTGACCTTAGCTTAGTGTAACGCCTGTTATTCCTCCCAGGAGTGCAGGCAGCTGTGGCCAGCAGCTGCCCGGCTCCTGCCAGTGTGACAGCGTGGGAAAATGGGGCCCCTAAGGCCGGACCTCCCACAGTTTTTCACGACCTTGACTTCTACGTGACACTTCCTGATTTTTAGATGGCAACTAATTAAAGGCTTTTTTTAATTGCATAAAATCCAAAATAAACTTACCCTAGACTAGATTCTACCTACCAGCCACGAACTGTTTTTTTCTTTTGAATTTGGGGAATCAAACCTGTGACCTCTTGGTTCATGGGCTGACGCTCAAGCACTGAGCTACACTGGCCAGGCCAGCCATTCAAGTTTTGTTTCACTTTTAGAACGCTGGGGAGGTGAGAAGCATTGGAAATGTTGCTATTAAGAAGCAGGACACTCACCTATCTAGATAAAACCTAAATGTTCAGCCTAATGAGTAAAGTGTAGCCACCGTCAAGGTCAGGAGTGGAACCGTGCCCGGGCCCACCTCCCCTGACATAATCGTTGTCCTGACTTCAGTCTCTAAGTGCCCTCGGTCAGTTGGCCTGTTTTTAAACTTGATATTGATGCGCTTACAATTCCCTGGGGCCCTGATGACCGTTGTTTGGACCTTGGATATGGAAGCTTCCAGAAGCAACTCTGACCCAACGTCTTCCAACACCCAGAGCAAAGGTTCGGAAGCCCAGGTCTGACCCTGTCCTCCCACACCGAGGCCCAGGCCCTGCCCCAGGAGTCCGGGCGCCATCTGCACTGGGAAGCAAATGCCTGGCCCGCGCGCCAGCTCAGGCAGCCTGTGGCATGCGAGCCCGCCACCCCCCAGCCGGGGAGACACAGAACGGAACCCTCCTGCTCCCCCCAGCGCCCCCCCGCGGGGGCCGGTCCCTCCCCGCACCCACTCCTCCCGGCCTTACAGAGGTGGCGTCCACGGCGTCCTCCTCCTCCCCCTCGTCCCGGCCGTCTTCGATCTCCTCCATCACCTCGGCCTTGGCCTCGGCCACCAGCTCCCGCAGGGCCTTGTTGCTGGTGACGCCGCTGACGAAGGGGTGCTGGGAGAGAAGAGGGGTCAGCGCCACCTTGGCGGGGAGGGGGACAGGCAGAGGCTGGGGTGCCGTGACCTTGGTACGGGAGAAGCCAGAGGAGGCTCGGAAAGGCCTGTGTGTGACAGAGAGGCAAATCCCGACCCTGCCCGTCGCCAGCTGTGCGACACTGAGCGTGGCACTCGCCCTCTCTGGGCGGCAGGCACCGCGCCTCTGCGGCAGAGACGATGATGCCACACCCACTGGGACTGTTAAAGAGACAACGCCTGCAGAGGTGCAGGAGCTGGAGCAATGCGAGGGGCGGTCTGTCTGCACATCGCTTGTTCTCTTTTAAGAGGAGGAGCTAGGGCCCTAACCGGTGTGGCTCAGTGGATAGAGCGTCGGCCTGCGGACTCAAGGATCCCAGGTTTGACTCCGGTCAAGGGCACGTACCTTGGTTGCGGGCACATCCCCAGTGGGGGGGGCGTGCAGGAGGCAGCTGATCGATGTTTCTCTCTCATCGATGTTTCTAACTCTCTATTCCTTTCCTCTCTATAAAACAATCAATAAACTATACTAAAAAAAAAAAGAGAACAATCTGTATCTTTTAAAAAAATAAAATAAATAAGAAGAGGGGCTAGGTTCACAAATCGTCCACATTTCCCATGTTTTTCACACACATGAGACCTGGAGTAACCACGCCCCAGACGGAACACGCCGGTCCCCCGGAAAAGGTCCCTCACCCCCTGGCAGTCCACGCCGGACCCCCTGCCCCACTCAGAGGTGCCCTGCCTGCCCACTCATTAGCATCCGACAGAACGCCACCCCCGTGGCTGACACGCGGGTCCCTCCTTGTCGCCTGCACTGGCGAGCTGTCCCTTCTGTAGCCTGCGCTGTTCTCACTGAGTGAACATCAGCTGGTCCGGGCCCTCGTCCTGATGCGGGCGGGCGTGGGTGTGCTGCCTGTGTGGGTGCCGGTGAGCGAGGCTGCCGAGGTCACACTGGCACATGTCTGCGGTGGGCGTGTGTTTGCAGAAGCGTCCGCAGTGTGTGCCCTCTCCCCCGAGCGCTCACGGAAACGCCACGTATCTCACCGGCCTTGCAAAACCAGAGCTGCTGGGCCTCAGCAGACATCCAGCCCCGAGGCGGGTGGGCAGAGGGCGAGCTGGGGCACCACCGGCCCTGCGGGCGGAGCTGGGAGCCAGGATTCGGACCACCTCTGGGTCTCCAAGGCAGGTGGCCTCACGCCTGCCCTGCACCGGGCGTCCCCACCTGGGGCAGGGAACCTGCCCGCCGCCCTCGCTCGAGCCTAAGCTCCGACAGCTCTCATTATCTCAAGGACCGAGCGTTTCCCCCGCAGCCTGTCTGTCTCCGCTGAGCCCTGGCAGGAACGTCCGGCTGTGGAACGGAAATTCCCGCTGAGTCAGGGCTCCGCGGCCAGGCGGGATGGAGAACAGTTGTCCCTCCTTCCCAGAGGGATGTCCTGGAGGCCAAGGTGCGGCCAGGAGGGGCCGCTCGCAGCACACAATGGCCCCCAGGGCGGGAGCTCCTGGGCTGGCAGTGACACAGGCTCGCCCACCCCGGGGCTGGGCCACCCGCCTCCTCCAGCACGGACCCACCGGCCCCACAGAACCAGGAAGGAGGCCCCTGGTCCCCCGGCATCGCTTCAGAGTCACCACAGGGACCTGGGGGAGCAGACCCTCCGGCAGACAGGCCTCCTGTCCCACCTGGTCTCTCCACTGTTAGAAATTCTGTTCGACACGTCCAGCATTCACGAGCCTAGAGCCTCATCGTGAGGCCACGCTCTTTCTAGAACCTTCTCCCTGAGCCCTCACAGCCACCTGGCAAAGGGGACGGCGCTGCAATCGCCACCCCAGAGCAAGAACCGAGCCAGAGCGGGCAGGCCGCCCGCCCCGGGAGGCAGAGCGGGAGGGATGGGAACCGGGACTCCCCGCTCCGGTGCACACGCACCCAGGGGGGAGCGGGCACCTCACGCCCCTGCCCGCGTGGCGCTGGACCTCGGCGTGTCCGTGTGACCGGCAGCCTGAGCCGGGCCGCCCGCGTGCCTTCTCTCCGCCTCCCTCTGCCGTGACAGAGGGGGTGAGCACGCCGCCCTGGGCCCTGCGTGTCCTCTTTTTTTTTTTTAAATATATTTTATTGATTTTTTTACAGAGAGGAAGGGAGAGAGATAAGAGTTAGAAACATCCATGAGAGAGAGAGTGTCTTAGATCAGCTGCCTCTTGCACACCCCCTACTGGGGATGTGCCCGCAACCAAGGTACATGCCCTTGACCGGAATCGAACCTGGGACCTTTCAGTCCACAGGTCGGCGCTCTATGCACTGAGCCACACCGGTGTTGACCTGCGTGTCCTCTGAGGAGCCATTGAATCCCGGGGGACACACCCCTCCCATCTCATCTCCGCCCCCGCCCCCACTCACCGGCCCCTCGCCAGGCCTCCCGGCTCTCCCAGGCTCATGCCACGCGTGCTCAGCCTCTGACCTTGGCCTTGGCCTCCGGCTGGCCTGGCCCTCGCCGCCTCTGGCGCTGCTCACACACAAAGCCCTCTGTGTCCTCCCTTCCCGGAGCCACTGGGCCGCCCCGCCTGTGCTGTTCCCCCAGAGCCTCCGTCTCCAGCCAAGCGCACATCTCTGCCCGTCCGCCCGGGCCCCCCCAGGACACCAGATCCGTGAGGACGGGGTTCAGGGGCCCCCTTCCCCAAAGCCCTCCCCTTACAGAGTCGGCGTTTAGGGGGCGCCCAGGAGCGTGGGGTGACGAGTGAGTGGCCTGCATGCTGCCACCTGGGCCGGGTGAGGGAGGCATCGGCTTCAGGTCATGGTCATGGCCATGGCCGGTCTCCGCCTCCAGGGGAAGGCCAGGCGGCAGGGCGCCCGCCCCGGAGGGGCAGAGGGCCTCACCTCCAGGAGCTGCGCGGCGCTGGGCCGGGTCTCGGGGTTCTTGTCCAGCGCCGTCTTCAGGAAGTCCCGGAACTCCGCGGACCTGGGGGCGGGGGCGGCAGCAAGCTCAGGGCGGGCAGGCCCAGCGGCTCCCGTGTCAGACCCCCTCCCGGAGCCCCGCGCTCCCCCACCCGTCCGGGACAAAGGCGCCTTCAGGCCGGCAGGCGGAGGCAGAGGGGCTGGCGCGATGGCCTTGTTGTCACGGCGCCGCCGGGCAGACGGATGTGGGAACCAGAGGCGCGGGGACTGGCCTCAGGCCACAGAGCGAGACACGGCCGCCGGCCCGGCCCCAGGTCATGCCAGGCGGCTGCTGGCCGGGCTGGGCCACAGTGAGTGTCACTGAGCCACAGTCCGCTCCGTGCCCGTGGGGGGAGCACAGAGGGAAGCACGAGGCCAGGAGGCCCCGAGGGCCAGGCCCTCACCTCCCGCACCCCGCTGCCCCGCTGTCCCCCCTCCCCCGGCCCCAGCTCGCCCTGCGCCTTACCACTTGGAGGGCGTGAGCAGCGTCGGGGGGTCGGACTTGGCGATCTTGAGCAGCACCCGCATGGGGTTGAGCTCGTGGTGCGGGGGCTCGATCTGGGCCATCTCGATCAGCGTGATGCCCAGCGACCAGATGTCGGCCTTGTAGTCGTACGGGGTGTCCTTCATGGTCTCGCACATCACCACCTCGGGGGCCATCCTGAACCAACCAAGCGACAACAGGGGGCTGAGGGCCCGGCCTCCGCAGGCGCTCCTCGGAGACGCGGGGCCGAGGGCCAGCGCGCCCTGGTCCCAGCCTGCGTTACTGTCCGGCCCACTGTCTTGCCGAGATGTCTTCAGCCAGAAAGACGCCCTTCCAAGCGGCTCCTCGGCCACGGCCTGCTGCAGTCCCCGATGCCTACCACAAGGTGGCAGCAACAATCCAGAACACAGTCCTGGGGAGGGTTAGGGGCAGGGCGGGAGGGTGGGGGTGGACAGGAGGGCAGAGGGGAAGGAGCCCAGGAAAGACAGGACAGGAAGGGCAGTGGAGAGAACACGACAGCCGGCAGAGA